CATCATGGAACTCCTCTGCTCCAAAACCTTCCATGGCTCCCCACTGCCGATACCAGAGTTCAAACGTCCCAAACAGCAAGTCAAGGCCCTGCACCATCTAGTCTGGCTAGATTCATCTTCCTCTACTATCCCCAACACACCCTCAACTCCAGCCACACCACACTCTCTGCCTTTTCCTGGAGACCCTATAATTCCTCACCTTAGTAACTGTGCTCCTAAATACTTCCTCTGACAGAGGGTTCTTCCCTAAGCCCTAACTCTACCACCCTCAAGGCTAGGCTGGAATCACATTCTTCTAAACCAGTTAACCCTTATAAAAGAAGCCCTGGGAATTCCCTTGTGGGCCAGTGGTTAAGGTTCAGTGCTTTCACTGTCGTGGGCCCGGATGCAATTCCTGATGGGGAAACTAGGATCCCACATGCTGCAGCATGACCAAAAAAAAAAAAAAGCAGTCCCAACATCATGGGAACAAGGGTGAGAGAGTTTCCGTTGTACCTGGGCCAGGTACTTTCTAAGTGCTTTGCAAATACAAATGAATCCTCACACCAAGCCTATGAGGTTGGTATTACTATTACCCCCATTTTACAGAAGAGGAAGCTAACACCCAGAGACATTAAGCAACTTCCCCAGGATCTCACAGTTATAAGTGGTAGAGCCGGGGTTTGAACCCAAGCTGTCTGGCTCCAGAGTCCCGGTTCTTACTCTGCTCTACAATACGCGAGCCTCCCAGCTCTGTCCTCCCACCACTCTCTCTGGTGCTTCCTCTCCTGTAGCAGTGGGGCCACACCATGGTCACAGGGCCCCACAGCTTACCAGTCAGGTAACCTCGGACAAGTCATTCACTGCGGAACCACACCTACCCTCACTCCCCAGGCTGTGAAAATCACAAGAGATAGTACTTAGTACAACGTCTAGCCTATTCCAAGAGCCCAATCGACAATGGCAATGATTACCATGAGTAAAGAGCACCAGGACTTCCCTGGTGGGGCAGTGGTTAAGAATCCGCCTGCCAATGCAGGGGACACGGGTTCGAGCCCTGGTCCGGGAAGATCCCACAGGCCGCAAAACAACTAAGCCTGTGCGCCACAACTACCGAGCCTGTACCCTAGAGCCCAAGAGCCACAATTACTGAGCCCACGTGCTGCAACTACTGAAGCCCGCGTGCCTAGAGCCCGTGCTCCGCAACAAGAGAAGCCACCGCAGTGAGAAGCCAGCGCACCGCAATGAAGAGTAGCCCCCGCTCGCTGCAGCTAGAGAAAAGCCCGTGCGCAGCAACGAAGACCCAACACAGCCATAAATGAAATAAATAAAATAAAATAAAGAATCTGCCTTCCAAAGCAGGCGACGCGGGTTCGATCCCTGGTTGGGGAACTAAGATCCCACATGCCATGAGGCAACTAAGCCCACACACCAAAACTACTGAGCACTGAGCACGTGGGCCACAACTAGAGAGAAGCCCACGCGCCGCAGTGGAGGATGCCACGAACCGCAACTAAGACCCGATGCAGCAAAAATAAAATAAATAAATAAATAAATATTAAAAAAAAAAAAAGTAATGAGCACCATGAGTAATTTGTTCCTCGTCTCCAGGCCCCCTGGACTCGGAACGTGTCACAGAGGCTCAATAATGCCTTATGATTTGAGCCCTTCCTTCCAACTCATTTTCAGAGAAATTCCAAGCAGCTTCTGAACCCACTCTGGAACCTGGGAACAAAAGGGTGCTGGCAGGTAGAGAACTTGAGGAGGCAGATAATCCAAAAATAATTGATCCCAGGTCACAGAGAGCATTTTGTTTACCCTTCCCAATTATCTACTGCTTAGGCTAACGTTACAGGCGGCCCTCCCCAGCACACCACGATGGCTGCGTGTGCTCACCACGGCCCCAAGGGGACAGGGTCAGGCCGAGGCTGGCTGCCTCTTGCTGAGAGGTAAACTGAGGCACATATGGCCCGAGTCATGGCACCCTCGGCTCAAGGAGCACTTGCAGGCTGCTGATCATGTGCTACATCCAGGGCCCCTGGTTTTAAGAGTCTGGGTGCTGAGCCCAAGTTCTGCCGTTTCTGGAAATGCCGTCAGGAACGGGAATCTTGTCTGAAGATAATTCCTCAATCCTTCGTAGGCCATCGGACCTTGTAATGACTCCGCATGCAAGTCCACGGGAGAACAGAATATGTGCCTCCTTTGCACACATGAGAAAACTGGCCCCAAAGAGTAAAGCCGCTGTCTGAGGTCCCATGGCCTCAGGGCACCTGGCCAGGCCCTTCCACCCATGAACGGGGAGTCTCTCCATCCCCTTCAGGCTCTTGGGAGACCCTCCCTCAATCTCACCTTGTGCACAGGTGAGTCTGGCATCCTCACCAACTCTCCCACCCTTGGAAATCAAAGGTCACGTCATGTCACTTCTTCTGGTGTTCCAGGTCTCTAGGAAGGAAGCCCTCTGGGGGCAGGAAGTTGGTTGTGCTGACTCACAGGCCAAGGGAGAGTAGTCCAGGAAACCTGCTCACTCTAGTTTCCATGGCGCTTGGCTGTGTGGCACCCCTTCCTCTCCAAGTATCCTTCACAAGGCTGGGTGGTTTTGGTGGGATCGGGATGCAGGCAGACCCGCCCTGCTGAGCACCCACTCTCCACCCTAACGCCATCTCTCCCACTCATTTCCAGACTCATGGCAAACGCAGTCACTCTCTTGTAACTGCTTCCCCAGAACAGAGGCTGGTTATGGGGTTTAGCCTTCCCGGCTGGCAGAATTTTGGGGATTTCATCAGTGGAGCCAGGAAGCCTTCTCCACCCTGACTGGGTAAAATAAAGGTCCCCAAGAAACAGCCTGGGTGAGTCAAGGCCCACCAAGTGCCTCTGGCCACCCCTGCTGCCTGACTTCCCCACAGTGTTTTTAGCAAGAGGAAGAGGGAGATGACATCTGATTAGGAGGCCCGGCTTCTAAGACACGATTCAAGAAGGCAGGAAAGCGTCACCCATCAGCTCCTTACTTCTCCTGGAGTGGGAAGGGGCCTGGGCAGCTGTGAATTTATGACCCCAAGAAAAAGAGGACTAGGCAGGGCTTCCCTAGTGGCGCAGTGGTTGGGAGTCCGCCTGCCGATGAAGGGGACGCGGGTTCGTGCCCCGGTCCGGGAGGATCCCACATGCCGCGGAGCGGCTGGGCCCGTGAGCCATGGCCGCTGAGCCTGCGCGTCCGGAGCCTGTGCTCCACAACGGGAGAGGCCACAACAGTGAGAGGCCCGCGTACCGCAAAAAAAAAAACAAACAAAAAAGAAAAGAAAAAAGAAAACAGAGGAATATAAGCATCCCACCATCTGAAACCCAGAGAGCTGCTGTGAAGAGCTGACACCCACCCCCAACTGTAACATTTTATTTTGCTTAAGAGAAGTTTTTCTGCTCTATTTCTCGTTCCCTACAAGGCCTGGTCCTAACAGGTCCCTGGCAGGACATGGCTCAAAGCTCCATACACCACAAATGGTACAAGTGTCCAAGAGAGTTCTGGATGTCAGCTGTCCTGGGTTCAAATCCCGCTCCAGCAGGTGAGCTGTGTGGCCTCCGGAAAGTCCCATGAAAAAACTACCTCAAAGGGTGGTCGAGGACTTAGTGCATAAGTTAGGGAACCTACACAGTGCCAAGCACCTAGTGGGTGCTTGGTAAGTGTCAGCTATTCCTAGGATTTGGGGCTGATAGAACAGCACCCCTTCATATAGACCTAAATTAAAAGCTAGAGTGACACTTCTTACAAACACACACATTCTCTCCTCCCCTCTCAAAGGCTTCCTCGATTAAATTCTGAAAGACAGAGAAACTCAGTAGCAGCCTTCATTCACCAAGTCAGAAACCGAGGCCCACATAGGGATTAGTCTGAGGGCGCACAGGCAGCAAGTGGCAGAGCCGGGAGAGCTCTTCCCCAACCTCAATCACCTGGCCTTTCCACCGTGGCCCCAGGGTGCTCTGGGACTGCTAAGGGCTTCTAAAAAGTTCTTGCGCCCGTGCATCGCCCACTAGTTTGAGGAGCACAGGGAGAGTGGCAGACACGCTCTTTTCCCAAGAAAACACGAAGGGTGCAGCCACCCCTCCCTCAAGGCCAGGGACTTACCTCACTCACTGGTGAGGCAAGAGTGCTCTGGGCTAAAAACCTTGGGGGAGGGGGAGCAGACCCCATTCATGCAGGCTGAGGTCACTGAAAGTGATTATCAGGGCTTGTTCTGTAGCTCCCTGCCCTGGGAGACTCCAAGATCCCCAGCATGAAGGCATCCTCGGGGCCATTTCTCAGCCCAACTTGCAGCCTCACCTACCCTACTCCCCGGAGGCTGGTTCTCACTCCGACCCAGCCCGAATGGGGAGCGGAAACTAAGTCCACCAGCTACATCAAGAAAGAGCCCATTCAACGGGAACATGTCCCATGCTGCTCCCCCACACCCAGTGACTCACTGGCAAGTTTCTGGAGAAGAAACTGAGGTGGGGAGCGGTTGTCAAACCCCCAGGCTGAGGCCTCGCAAAATGCCATAGGAGACAGGGTGTCGGGAAATCCCCTCTACCAGGTAATAAAAGAACCTGGCCTCAAGTGTGGGGGAACTAGGGAGACGCCTCAGGAGTCCTTTACCTCCCAACCTCCTGATACCTGCTTCCAAAGAGATCAGTCCACGTTATGTCGTTCCTTTCCCCCTGAACATCTGTGGGAATGTCTTCTTACAGATCTACGTCGAGGATCCTGCTGTTTCTCCCTCCTTGCTGCATCAAGCTTGCCCATCTGAAGGTATCTGAGCCCCCCAACCCTGGACATGTGTATGATACCGTCTCCCACATCGGGTGTCACGTGTCGCCCACCTCTCATGTCCAGCACCTCTGGACCCCTCCCGCGTCCACGACAGCTTTCTCCCAGCTCTTCCCTTCACCACCAGCCCGCCTGGCCCGCCCAGCCAGCTCCCCTGTGGGCCCCGTCAGGTCTGCGGGCGACAGTGGCCAGACCTGAAAGGGGGCAGGGCACGGCGGCCCGAGCTCACCATGGCGAAGCCGGAGAGCAGAGCCGAAGTCCGGCTGGAGGCTTTGAGCTTGGCGCGGCTCAAGTAGAGCTTGCGCCAGGACAGCGCCTGCATGGAGTGCTCGTTTAGGCTCATCACCTCCGAGTAACTCTGGCCGATCCAGTCCGGGTAGGTCACGGCGGGCGGCGGGGTCGACGGCGACCCCGGGGGCTCCCCGTCCCCGCTGCGCCGGCGGCTCCGGTGGCTGCCGCTGGTAGTGTTGCCGCAGCTGAGGGGAAGCTCAGGGCTGCTGCTGCTCGGGGGCGGGGCGGGCTCCGGATGCATGGAGCACGCTGAAAAGGCGCGGGCCGGCCCAGGCGCCTGCGAAGGCAGCGGCCCCCACCACCCCCCGCACCTCCGCCTCCGCCTCCGGCTGAGGCAGCCGCCGCCTGGGCCCCTGCGCGGGTCCGGCCTGACCCGGCCGGCCGCTAAAGACGAGGAGGTCGAGGAAGCGACTACAGCACAAGCTCGCAAACCCGCCACGCCGCTTGCAAAAGTCCGGGGCTGCAGAGACGAAAGCCTGCGCGCGAGCCAGCGTCCCGGATCCCCGGGCCCCGGACCCCCGGCGCGCGCCACGATTGGCCGCCGCCGCGGGCTGATTTGCATGCTCCCCGCCCACGAGGGGTGGGCGTGGCCTGCGCGAGTCAGGTGACTCGTCCCATCGGACGGTACCGCCCACAGTCCCTGGCCCCGCGCCGTCAGCGTCCGCGCCTCTTCCTGGAAGTGCCCCAGCACCCGGGCCTCACGGCTCTCCTGCTGCCGGCGCCTCCCATCTCCACAGCTGCTCCAGTGGCCCTTCTTCCAGAGCTCGGACTTCTGGGTCGCGCCACCTGAAGTCACCTCTGGGCGCCTCCTGAAGCCCGTTTCCCCCTTGGAACAAGGTGACTCAAGGTCTGCAGAAAAAAAGCAGACTGTGATCTGGAGTTCATTCACTCTCTATTTATTGAGCACCTGCTGGGTGCCAACACTGTTCTGGGCACTGAGGGTAGGGTGGTGAACAAAATGGACAAAATCCCCTGCCTTCGTGGAGCTTACATTCTAGTGGCGGAGACACGCAAACACCGAGGAGTAAATTATAATAGTTTAGAAGGTGATACATGTATAGAAAGGGGGAACTGGTAGTGCGGGGGCTGCAATTTTAATTGAAAATGTTCTGGACAAGGTGTTTTGTTGTTGTTGTTGTTTTAGGGCAGGGATTTTTTTGGTCTGTTTTGTCCAACTCATTCACTTACAGTTCACTATCTTCTGAAACAAGCCGGGGTGCAGGATCATAAACCCATTCAGTAAGTTTACTGCGCACCTATCAAACGCTAGGCTGAGGGATTCCAAGAAAATGGTAACTTTCATGGAATCTTATATTTTAGTGAAGAGAACAGGCAAACAACAAACAAAATAAGTTCACATCTTTCTGACTTGGTCACTTTTGAGCTGAGACCCGAACCTAGCAGTGCAAAGAAGCAGGGACCTGCTTTCCAGGGGTGGAAGGGAACAGCAGATGCAAAGACGCTGAAGCAACGATATCTGCCCGTTGGATCTTAGGAGGCCAGTTAAGCTGCAGAATACTGGAGGGCAGAGGGGCAGTGGGGGTAGAGTAGTGAGCTAAGAACTGTTCCCTAGGGTATCGACTCCAGGAGGGCAGGGACCTTCACTGTCGGTTTCACAACTCTACCCCCAGCATCTAGAGTTATTGCTTGGCACACTGCTCGGTAAATATCTGTTGAATGAATAAGTGCGGGAGAGAAAGGAATGAGTGAAACTCATAATTAGCCCAGAGTCAAGTCACAAGCATGCGGCATTCCAGGTCAGCTATGTGAAATTTAACTCTTGTCACCACTAGAGGGCGCCCCATCCACTCACCCACATTATGGGCTAAAACTGAAGGCCCCCTCCTCCCAAAAGTCTCTGGGATTCTCCCAGAGACCTTTGTTTTTATGAGACCGGGAAACTTGGAATTTTAAATCTCACCCCATTGGGCTTGTTTCTTTGGTGGCCTTTGTACTTGTTACCTCTTTCACTTACCATCTGTGTCTCAGCTCAAATATCACCTCCAAAGAGAGACCTTCCTTCTCTGTTTAAAGTTGCCCCCGTTTCATGTTCTGTCCCCTCGCCCTGTTTTATTTCCCTTATAGTTCTGATCACTACAGTATCTGAAATCACTTAATTTATGTACTGACCTGTTTGTCTGTACTCTCCTCCCCCCGCCCCGACCCCGGCTCCCCCAGGAGATGAGTGTCTGAGAGCAAAGTTCCCCTCTGTTTAAATTACTTCCTTATCACCCAGGGCCTCTCACAGGATATGGCGCACCGGAGATTCCCAATAGGAACAGGTTCAATGAAAAAGATAATGAAATGTCCTTGGTTCTAAGAGCCCCCCAACTCAGAATTGGGTACACACAACGTTTTGAGGGCCCATGGGGCCTGAGGGAGGCTAGCAGGTCTGGAGGGGAAGAGCCTGGAAGCTGGGAGGAAAGATTTGCTGATTAAGGAGGAACAAAAGAGTGGGAGTGGCAGCTCAGCAGGGGGCTTTGGGGTGGGGATGGGGCCAGGTTTCCTTTCTCAAGATCCTACATCATGCCCCTCCCACTCCTAATTCTGTGCGGTTTGAGTCCTACCATGTGCACAGAGCAAAAGAAAAGAAAAACAAAAATACTATCAAGACTTGGGTTGGTGGCTTGGGAGAGGGGTGAGCATCTGGGCAATTCCTGTTTCCTGCTCTAGGGTCCTAGAGCCCTGAAGGGCCAGTGGTTAATAACTTTTCCCCACTATTGTTAGAGCTAGTCGGGGCCGTGAGATACACCTACCCCATTCCTAGCCCCTACTTAACAGAAACTGAGGCCCCAGAGAGAAAGCACCTTCCCAAAGAACACCAAACAAACCAGTGGAGAATGAGCCTTGGAACCCCAGCTACCCATCCCAGCAGTGCCTCCAAGCACCATGTATGGGTCCCCTTAGTGGCTAGAGGGTGTGTGCTCTCAGCCTTTTGGGGTTTGTGTTTGAAAAAGCCAAATAGAATTTTTCAATCAACTCTGTGTATGAGGGTATAGAGATCCAGCTGAAGGGACTGCTGCAAACTGCTTCACCACTGTGGCCAGTGGGCACAGCCTGGGGCTGACCAAAGATGGCAGGAGCTGCCTTGGGAGGTAGCAAGCTCCCTATCACATGGGGTAAAAAAAAGATTTAGCACTTAAGTAGTACTTATGAATGACAGGCACTATTCCAAGTTCTTTATTAGTAAATAATTTATATACTTATTATAAATAAATATATAAAATATATTAATACAATAGAATAATTGATACATTTATTAAATACATTGTTATGTTAATATATCTATATTGTCTTGTATTAAATATGTTAAATTATTTTGTTGTTTATTATTATTTTATTGTATTGAATATATTATATTGAACTCGAGAATTCCTTACAACAACCTGTTGTATTAATATCACCATTTGAAAAAATTGAAGTGTATTCGATTTACAATATTGTGTTAGCTTCAGGTGTATATCACCATTTTGCAGATGAGAAAAATGCACAAAGAGCCAGTAAGTAGTAGTACAGGACATTAAACCCAGTTGGTGGGTCTCCAGAGTCTGGGGCTCAACTACCACCAAAGTCACTCCTACCCCTGCATCAGAATCTCCAGAGGTATTTTTTTAAATGCAAGTTACTAAAACCCACCAAAACAGTTTAGCTTTAGCAAGTTTTTTGGGTAAAGTTTGAGAAGCACCAAACTAGATGAGCTTTAGTTTTTAAGTACTTTTAGTCTTCTGCAGTGGTTAAGGTTGGCTGTTCCCTTGGCCACTCAGTTGCAGTGTGACCTTGGGCAAACTACTTAACCTCTCTGAGCAACCAATACCCTTAGCAAAAATAAAGACATTACAAATACCTATTCATGGACCCTGGACACCCAGAGTCTGGACACCCCGTCACCTTCCCGAGGCAGATTTTAGGAGGGGTAAATCTGATGCCCAGCTGAAGAGGAAATCCCTTGCCTGTTCCTGCCCAAAATGGCCTCAAAGAATTCCCCACTTTCAGTTTGAAAAGAGAGCATTCTGTCAGAGCCCATCATGGTTGCTTGCCTCTATTTCCTTCCCCCATCTCTGCCTTACCCTCTGATTGCTCTAGGTTTGAAACCCCTAAATTAATAATAATAAAAGAGCCATCGTCTCATTTATTTATATTTATTTATTATTTTTGCCTGTGTTGGGTCTTCGTTGCTGCGCGTGGGCTTTCTCTAGTTGTGGCGAGCGGGGGCTACTCTTCGTTGCAATGCGCGGACTTCTCACTGTGGTGGCTTCTCTTGTTGTGGAGCACGGGGGCTTCAGTAGATGTGGTGCGTGGGCTCAAGTAGTTGTGGCTCGCGGGCTCTAGAGCACAGGCTCAGTAGTTGTGGTGCACGGGCTTAGTTGCTCTGTGGCATGTGGGATCTTCGCGGACCAGGGCTCGAACCCGTGTCCCCTGCATTGGCAGGCGGATTCTTAACCACTGTGCCACCAGGGAAGTCCAGAGCCATCATTTCTTGAGCTCGTGCCTTTATAGACCAGTGCTTGTATACCTCTGGTGATGGGAAGTGCCCTCCTTCTGTACCAGTTATTTCTAAGAGTTCAAAAGTTCTCCTTCTATGGAGCTGGTACAGGCCTCCCTGTGACTCCTTCTATGTGTCACACAGAATGTGTGAAATCCCTCTGCTGCCCAGCCCTGGTGCTACCTCCACAGGACATCTGGAAGGCAGCATTAGTAAGTGATCCAGGGGCTTTCAGAGTCAAAGAATGGGGTGATGGAAGCAGGGGACTGGTTACAAGATTCAGAATTAGGGTTTGTGTTGATTTCAAAATGATTCTCTGTGCCTGAAGCTCAGAGACCATGTCCAGGGGAACTCCTGCCCTGCCTCCCTGCTCCCCAGGCCCTGGGCTTTTAGGGCTCACTCTTCTCCCTGGTCAGAAGCCGTTGCTGGGACTGTGCGTTTGTGCTCATGCCTTTTATGGTTAGTGCTTTTTCTGTCCTGGCTAAGAAATCTTTGCCAACCCCAAGGTCAGGGAGATATTCACCTATGTTTTAAAATTTTTAAATGTAGATTTTTAAAAAGCTTTAGAGGGACCTCCCTGGTGGTCCAGCAGTTAAGACTCTGCACTCCCAATGCAGGGGGCCCGGGATCAATCCCTAGTCGGGGAACTAGATCCTGCATGCCCTAGATCCCACATGCATGCATGCTGCAACTAAGACCCAGCACAGCCAAATAAATGAATTAATAATTTTTAAAAAGTTTTAAAAAGTATAAAGCTTTAGAGTTTTTCTTGTATGTTTATGTTTACGATCCATCTCAAACTGATTTTTGAGTGGAGTAAAATTTCCCCACTGAAATGCATGAATCATTCTGTCAAAAATCAAGTGACAATACGTGAGGGTCTGTTTCTGGATTCTCTATTCTATTCCATTGCTCTATTTGCTAATATGCCAATATATACTTTCTTGATTACTCTAGCTTTAAAATGTGTTGAAGTCAAGTAGGTTAAGTCTTTCAACTTTGTCCTCCTTTTTCAAATTGGTTTGGCTATACTAGGTACTTTACATCTCTCTCTATATTTTGGGGTAAAATGTTGGGATACATTTTGGAATACATACATGACTTGGGAATCATTGTATCTCTTAAAGGGGTGGGGTTTTCCTGGAAATCTAGCATCCTCCATTAGAAAAACAGGTCCGGAAATTCCCTGGCAGTCCAGTGGTTAGGGCTTTGCGCTTTCACTGCCGTGGGCCTGGGTTCAAGCCCTGGTCAGGGAACTAAGATCCCGCAAGCTGCGCAGAGCCGCCAAGAAAAAAAAAAAATAGGACCAACTAGGTCACACTGTAGAGACTGAGCACCTGGGTCAAGAAGGACTGTTATTAGTTAAATTGTGTCCCCCCCAGTACCTTGGAGCGCGGTCTTATTTGGAAACAGGGTCTTTAGAGAGGTAACCAAGTTAAAATTAGTTCATTACAGTGAGCCCTAATCCAATGTGACTAGTGTGCTTATAAAAAGGGGAGATTTGGACACACAGGCAGGCCCAGAGAGAAGATGATATGAAGAGACACAGGGAGAAGATGGCCATCCACAAGCCAAGGAGTGCCTGAGGCTTCCAGAAGCTGGGAGAAAGGCCTGGGTCAGAACTTTCCATGGAGCCTTCAGAGGGACCACAGCCCTGCTGATACCTTGATTTCAGACTTCTGGTCTCCCAAAGCATGAGACAATAAATTTCTGGTGTTCTTGGCCACCCAGTTTGTGGTACTTTGTTATAGCAGCCCTAGGAAGCTCATATACTTACCCTAGAGTAAGTTGAGGTGGGATCTTCAGTCAGCCAAGGGACTTGAGTTCTAATAGGTTTATCAGGGAGTTGCAAGTGTGTTCAAGATGTCAGCAGAGATTAGAAAAAGACAAGCAGATTTTTGGAGCTGGGAGCTCCTCGAATCCCAGCTTTGTCAGTTTATAACTGTACCACTTTGGGCAAGCAACCCAACCTCTGTGAGCCCCACCTGTCAAATGGGAATAGTAATTAATGGGGTTTGGCAGAAAGGGCTGCTATGAGTGTTCCACAAAAGAACATTTGTCTGGCACTGAGAACAATGCTCAATAAATGGTGGTTACTATTTTCCTTTTTGTGGGATGTGCTGTGCTCAAGGAGAGGGAATTGTTTCATTCCGAACCTGATGAATTGACTACTCTGTGAGTATTCACGAAAGGCAGAAAATCAGTGAGAATCCAACCAGGAAAAACAGATACTAGAATAGGGGAATTTATGCAAAGAATTGCTTCCTAGGTAATGGAAGAACCATGGAAGCACTCAAACAGGGGAGGGAGGGTGAAGAACCTACAGATTAGCGACAGCAGGAAGGCCAGTACCACCCCTGGGATTGGAGGGACCAAGGGAGGAGGTGGTGTTTCTGGTACCCAGGAAGGATTGAGGTCACCAGACAGAAGGTGGACCCACAGGGGGCCTGTCTGGTGGGAGGTGGAGACATAGGAAATGTAGCTGCTACTGGAAATATTACCTGAGGCAGAGAGAGGGAGAAATACCCAGGCTTCTCCCTTCCTCCCGCCCACCAGGCTCCTATCACTGACTCCCATTGGTCAATCTATACAGGAAGTCAGTTGATTTGGCAGCCTGCAGAGGTTGGCCTTCCTGTGATACAGAGCTAAACAGAGGAAGGGCAAGGAATGGATTTGAGGGCAAACAAGCCCAGGCCCAACACTGGGGAGCTAGAGTTGTATTTAATCTCTCTAAGCCTCAGATGCCCCATCTAGAAAATGGGGATAATGATATCTATGAGTATCTACTCACAGAATAGCTGACTGCATAAAACAAGACAACACGGAGAAACAGTTGAACCTGGTGCCTGCCACATAGTAGGCGGTACCCTGTAAATGTGAATGAATCATCTAGTTAGCTGTTTTCTGCTCAGAGGATGAAAGGGAAGAAGAGGACAGAGGCCTGGGAATAAACTCAAGGTACTGGAGCAATGCTGGTGCTAGTGATATTTTTATCTTGCAGACGTGCCCATCTGTCCTCTTTCTGTTCTAAGCTGGTGACTGTCATTCTCCTTTTAGAAACCCTGAGTCAGGGCTCACCACACCAAGTTCAGGGTAGTCTCTCTGCTCCTTCAAAAGGACTTCAGTCCACTAGATTTTTAGTTGGTGTCTCTGCATCCAACTGCTGCCAAATGTTTTTACCTCCCCGGCCTGGGGTTGAGCTGTTTCCAGGATCACTCTTTGTATAATTAAAAAGAAAAATAGAACAGCAGATGTTGCCAAATACGTATTTAAAGTGACACCCTGGGTTCAGGGAGTGAAAAATAAAAACATTTAAGGTTTAGATTAAAAGTCTCCATGCCCAGCTGTCTCCTGACCTTGGAATTTCTCCTCAGCCTGGCCGCCTTTAATCTCCTGCCCTAGTTTGTAAAAGCCTTTTAGACCGAGGGCATTTATTCCCAAAGAACTATTCTAGCCTAATCACATAAAAATGCCCAGCATCCCAGGAACAGCTTGTCAAGTGCAATGTGGTTCTGCGGTTCTCTCCAGAGGCCCTGGAGAAGGTGAGGAAATTGGGGCTCTGATCACCGTAGGAGTCATCCCTGAGTCTTTGCTTCCCTTCGCTGTGCCCTTTCTCCACCACATCTAATCCATCAGGAAACCCAGTCGACTGTAGCCCTTCACATTTTCTTAAAATCTGAGCTCTTCTTGTCAGCATCACCTCTTCCATCTTATCCAGGCCACCATCATCGCTCGCCGAGAGGTCTGCAGTAACCTGCTCCCTGACGTCTCTGCTTCTAAAGCCATTCTGTAACAGCAACCAAAAAAAATCTTTCTAAAACAAATCTGACCCTGTCCGTTCTCTGGTTGTATTATTTTCCCACTGCTGCTGTAACAAACTACACAAATTTGGTGACTTAAAAACAGTACAAGTGTATTCTCCTACACTTCTGGAAGCCAGACGTCCAAAATGAATCATAAGGAGCTAAGATTAAGGTGATGACAGGGCTGGTTCCTTCTGGAAGCTCTGAGGAGAAGTCCATTTCCTTGCCTTTTTCAGCTTCTGTACTCCTTGCCTTGTGACCCCTTCCTCCTTCTTCAAAGCGTACTAGTCCACTCTCTGCTTTTGTTGTCATATCTCCTCTCTTGAGCCCTCCTGTCTACTTCTTAAAAGGACCCTCGTGTTTACATTAGGCTCATCAGGACAATTCAGGATAATCTCTCCATCTCAAGCTCCCCCCACTTTGCTACACGCCATGCAGGATCTTAGCTGCCCAATGAGGGACTGAACCTGTGCCCTCTGCAGTGGAAGCGTGGATTCTTAACCACTGTACCACCACGGGAAGTCCCTCAAGATTCTTGATCACATCTGCAAAGCCCCTTCTGCTGTCCGCGGTAATGTATTCGCAGGTTCCAGGGATTAGGACGTGGATGTCTTCATGGGTCATTATTCAGCCTACCACGACTGCTTAAAGCCCTCCAATAGCTTTGCATCTGAGTTAGAATAAAACCCAAGCTCCCTACCCTTGAGAAAAGGTACGAGAAAGCTTCATCTGACCTAGTGCCTTCCTATTGCTCCAGCACCGTGCTCTGCCCCATCCCACCCCTTTTAGCTTACTTGCTTCTCACAGTTCTTCCCACAGCCAAGTCTACTCTTGTCTCAAGGTGTCTCTGCACATGCTGTTCCCTCTGCCTGATTGCGTTTCCCCCAGATCTTCACATGGCTGGCCACTTCCTCCCTTTTAGACTTTAGCTCAAGTCTAAAGAGACTTCTCAGAGAGGTCTTTCCCACATTAATCCATCGCACCCAGCACTCCCTGCTGTCTCTCATATCACCTAAGTATACTTAATGTCAACATAAGCACTTAATGCTACTGTTTTGTTGTTGTTGTTTTTAATTTGTTTACTTATTGTCTTATTTATTTACTTATTTAATTTATTTATTGTCGTTCTCTTCCATTAGAATGTGAGCAAATGAGAGAGAAAAACCCTTCCTTGCCTTGGTCGCTGCTGTATCCCCAGTGACTGGTACACAGTATCCTTGATAAATGTGTTTTGAATGGATGGATGGATGATGATGATGGTCTGGATGTCCAATTTGGTCTCAGGGCTTCAGTGTCCAGGATTCAGGCTCAGGATGGAGGCAGATGAGAAGGGCAGGAGGGTACTTCCTGTGTGCCAGGCCCTGTGCTAGTCTTTCCTTTATGCAATTCAACATTTATTGAACACCTACTGTGTGCCAGGGCTGGTGCAAGTTACTTATTCATGCATGATTTATTCAATTCTAGGAGCATTTGAGTGCCTACTGAATGCTAGGCAATGTACATTTATAATAAGCCTCTACTGTATACCACCTGCCCCAAATTAGTGCCTGGGTACACAGTAGTTAAATAAATGTCTGAATCAATGAATGCCCTCAAGGAGTCCCCAGTCTGCCTGCTAAAATGGCCTGTAAATAAATAACTCTAACACACAAAGATAAGCCTATAACATGGGTGTGTTCAGAGTGCAGAGGGGGCCCTTATCACCTTGTACTGGCAGATACCTTTCCCAGTCTTATCTTCTCACCTGGGAACTAGCTTTTTGAAGGTCAGGTAGACTCACCCCTCATTCACCTGCCTGTCCATCCCCTGGGCACCCAGGAAGGATCTTGCCTGTAGCACGTGCTCAATCAATGCCTGTTGTCTGATTACTGCTGATCCCCTACTGGCAGTTGTTCCTTCATTCATACCTCCGGCAAGAGGGCAGCAGCTCAGTCCTAACCCTGGTGCTGCTGGCAGTGAGCTGGGAGCCTCTGACAGGCTACCCACCCTCCCATTTGGCCTGACTTTTCCAGCCATCAGTGAAGGATTTGGTCTCCTTCCTTGGTGTAACTCCTTGCCTGGACTTCTATATAATCTATTCTTATAAAAATTCAGGCAATGCACAGAAATTGTTAAAGATTCAAATACTCACCATAAGGGATTCCCCTGGTGACCTAGTAGTTAGGATTCCAGGCTCTCACTGCGGTGGCCTGGGTTCAACCCCTGGTCGGGGAAGATCCTGCAAGCCATGCACTGTGGCCAAAAACCAGGAACAAAACAAATCCTCACTATAGTCACAAGACTTTGCCTGATCTGACACTTTCCTTCCCTCCTTCCATTCTTCTTTTTTTAAAAAGATAGTGGTAAAGGGCTTCCCTGGTGGCGCAGTGGTTGGGAGTCCGCCTGCCGATGCAGGGGACACGGGTTCGTGCCCTGGTCCGGGAAGATCCCACATCCCGTGGGGCGGCTGGGCCCGTAAGCCATGCACTGAGCCTGCGCGTCTGGAGCCTAAAAAGTGGTTAAAAAAAAAAAATAGTGGTAAAATATACATAACATAAAATTTACCATTTTAACCATTTTAAAGTGTACAGTTCTGAGTCATCAAGTACATTCCCACTGTTATGCCACCATCACCAGAGTCCTTCCCTTCGTTTTTAATAATAATTTAAAAATTCACTATTTGCTCATTGTCTTTTATTGGGGTCTTACAGTTAATGATCAGTTCGTTTGAATATTTACAAAGATAACTTTAATAATGTACCAATTGTTTTGATAAGAAATGGCTAATATGGAGTTTGGCATGGTAAAATGAAGTTGTGAAATTACTTTTTGGAGTTACTGGCATGCAAAGTAATAAAGATTGTGCCACTGTGAGCAAGTATAAAAATGAAGAAGAATACTATGCAGTTGTAAGCTTAAAAAAAATAGGAAATATATATACGGTTTAAAATAATAATATATTATTGTTATCAATTTAAGAAACAAAACTTTACCACTTTCACAGCAGCATTATTCACAATAGCCAAAAGGTAGAAACAATCCAAATGTCCATCAGTGGATGAATGGAAAAACAATGTGCTATATACATACCATGGAATAGTATTCAGTCTTAAAAAAGAAGGAAATTCTGACACATGCCACAATATGGATGAAACTTGAAGACATTGTGCTCAGTGAAATAAGCCAGTCACAAAAGGACAAATATGTTGTGATTCCACTTATGTGAGGTACCCAGAGTAGTCAAGTTCATAGAAATGGAAAACAGAATGGTAGCTTCCAGAGGCTGGGTGGATGGGGATTTGGGGAGAGTTATTTACTCATTAGGTGTAGAGTTTCTGTTTGGGATTGTTTGGGCTGAATGTTTACTTCCTTCTGAAACACTTTTTTTTTTTTTTTTTTTTTTTTTTTTGCGGTACGCGGGCCTCTCACCGCTGTGGCCTCTCCTGTTGTGGAGCATAGGCTCCGGACGCGCAGGCTCAGCGGCCATGGCCCACGGGCCCAGCCGCTCCGCAGCATGTGGGATCTTCCCGGACTGGGGCACGAACCCGCGTCCCCTGCATCAGCAGGCGGACTCCCAACCACTGCGCCACCAGGGAAGCCCTGAAACACTTTCTTTTAAATGAATTTATTTATTTATGGCTGCATTGGGTTTTCATTGCTGCACGCGGGCTTTCTCTAGTTGCGGCGAGCGGGGATACTCCTCGTTGCAGTGTGCGGGCTTCTCGTTGTGGTGGCCTCTCTTGTTGTGGAGCACAGGCTCTAGGCACGCGGTCTCAGTAGTTGTAGCTTGTGGGCTCTAGAGCGCAGTCTCAGTAGTTGTGATGCACGGGCTTAGTTCCTCCGCGGCATGTGGGATCCTCCCAGACCAGGGCTCAAACCCATGTCCCCTGCACTGGCAGGCGGATTCCTAATCACTGTACCACCAGGGAAGCCCCTCCCAAAACTCTTATGTTGAAGCCCTAACCCCCAGCGTGATAGAATGTTTGGAAGGTGATTAGGCTTAGATTAGGTCGTGAGAGCAGGATCCTTATGATGGGATTAGTGCCCTTATAAGAGGGAGAGAGAGAGAAAGGTCCCTTTCCACACACATACCGAGGAAAGGCTCCACGAGCACACAGGGAGAAGGCAGCTGCCTACAAACCTAGAATTGAGTCCTCACTGGGAAATGAATCTGCTGGCACCTTGACCGTGGACTTCCCAGCCTCCAGAACTGTGAGAAATAAATGTCTGTTGTTTACGCCACTCAGTCTATGGAATTTTGTTATACTGGCCCAAGCTAACTAAGACAAGGATAATGAAAAAGTTCTAGAGTTGGATGGTGGTGACAGTTGCACAACAGTGTGAATGTACTTAATGTTACTGAACTGTACACTTAAAAATGGTTAAATGATAAATCCTATGTTATACGTATTTTGCCACAATTAAAAAACAAAGTGCTCACCTCAGTCTACTAAAGTTGGAACAATACAAAGGTTGGCATGGCCACTACACAAGGATGACATGCATATCTGTGAAGGGTTCCACTAAAAAAAAAAAAAAAGAAAAAGAACAATAGTAACAAGAAAAACCCTAACATTACCAGCATTTCTCATTGAAATTCTCCATCGCCCCATCCCAGTCTCCTCCAACTCACTCCCCAGAAGTAACTACTATCCTCAGTTTTGGATTTATCCTTTACTGTGACATTGCTTTTCTATATACACTGTTTACTTTGGCCTGTTTTTCAACTTTATATAAACTTTACTGTGTGCCTACTTCTGCAACTTGCCTTCCAGTTCAACATGTTTTGGTCAGAGTCATCTTGTAGACACAAGGAGCTCTAGGTCATTCTTTTTCACTGCCACACAGTATTCCACCTTACAAGGTACCTGTCACAGGCTTCTTCAGAGCCTTTCCGCCTCCCCTCTCAGGTGATTTCCTTTGGCCACTTGTTTCATCTTAACCATTAATTACTATGTTGACCGATTCTGCGTGGGCTCTGACCAAATGGCCTCCATCTGGGCTTCCCTGTGTGACACTGAGTGACTGCCTAGGTGCTCACATGTGGGTAATGCTGAAGAATAAGGAAGTTTACACCCCATGGGGCAAACCTTTGATCAGGAGCTAGTAGATAATTCTTCTCCCTTCTTCCTCTCCCCAGAACTGTCCTAAGTTACCATAGTAAATATGGCCTCTTCTCGGTACTCTCATTCACTCACCCTCTTTCCCTGCCTCACTCCCCCTCTTCTGTACTCTTGTTTCCTTGGACTGCACTTCCCAATAAGGTAGTACTGCAAACTTTTGATTCAGACTCCGCTTTCTGAGGAACCCAAGAAAGACGTATCTGTAACGTGTCCACTCCCCTGTCGATGAACGTTTGAGTTGTTCCAAGTTTTCTAAGATTGCATACGATGCAGCTGGGGCTACCATCCTTGTTCATGCTTCCTGGTGCACTTGTGTCTGTTTCTCTAGAAGGTTCCTAGCACAGAACTGCAGGATCATAGGCTGCATGTTCCTTCAGCTTTATCAGATACTGCCCAATTAGTTCTTAAAGTTCCTACTTATTTTTCCAGTTTATTTCATCCCTAACCCCCACCAACAGCTCACTACATTTGGGTCATAGGGGCCTTTTTTCAGTTCCTTTACTGTATGTGCTCCCCCATCATGAGGCCTTTGCATCTGCTATCTTTTCTGCTGAGAACGCTTCCCCCACACTCAGCCTAACTCCTCAGAGCTCAGCTCTGTGCCTCACTTCCTTGGAACAGCTCCTTGATTTCCTCCTCAATCCCAGCCTGGGTCAACCCTCTCCTCACCCCACCCATATTATATATCTCGTAGCCTCATATACTTCTCTGCTGTGATTCACTGATCCGTTGCAATATTCTATCTGTGCAACTGTTGGTACAAAGTCTCCCCTCTGCTAAGTTTCACTAGCCTGAAAGTTGTGACCACCATGTTTGTTTCAGCTCGTTGCCGTATCTCTAGCACCCAACACCATGCCTGGCACATAGCAGGCAATTGATATTATTATTCTAATAGCTATTCTATGTTCTCACTCATCGAGCTCAGTGTGTAATTTTTCCAACATGTTTTAACATTAATTAGCATCTACCGGGGGCCAAGATCATGACAATGTAAACAAAATCCTGTTCCTTGAGGAACTCATGGATAAAGTTTAACAAACATTAATTGAGCTTGCTGGACCCTTACCTATTTTAAGTGCTTAGAGCTAAGCACTTAAAACTGTTTAATTGGCTCAGAAGTTACCCCTAGTCTGAGTGTTACTGTAATGAGTGATGATGACCATTGTTTATTGAGCACTTATTATGTGCCAGGCACTCTACTAAGTGCTTTGCATTTACCATCTCATTCTATCCTCACATCCTACCAGGGAGGTAGTATTATTACCTCCATTTTACAGATGAGGAAACTGAGCCTTAGTAAGGTGACGTTACTTGTTCTAGATCACACAGCTAGTAAATGGTGCAGACAGATTTCTCAGCCAGAATGCCTAACTTCCTATCACAATGTTAAACTTCCCCTGTCCTAATTACGATGCTTTCAATTAGATTCCAGAGACTGAGTTCTTAATCAGGATGGTAAACTAACGATAGCTACCGTTATGGGGCACTTATTGGGTACTAATCACTTTATATCCATCCATTCATTTATTCAACAAATATTTACTGAAGACTTACAACATGCCAAGCTCTGTTTGAGAGGCTGGGGGTACAGAGGCAAACAAAACAGAATAAAATCCCTGCCTTGCAGAGTTGACATCCTAGTGGGAGGAGAAAAAAACTAAACAAAATAAATAAAATATATGATAGATGGTGATCAGTGCTACAGAGCAAATGGAAGCAGAAAAAGGAAATGTGGAGTGTTATGGCTGGTGGTTCCATGATCTCATTTCATCCCCCCAACAATCTATTATTTTTCCCATCATAAAAATGAGATTCAGAGAGGTGAAGTCACTTTCCCCAAAGGCACACAGCTCACAGGCTAAGTCTGAACTCTGGAAAAACACAGGAACCCATCATGCACTTTTTGCTGTGCACCTACTGAGTGCCTCGCGTTGGAAACAAAAGGAGCATCAAACTTTGTTCCAGTTCCAAGAGTTGAAGATCTGGAAGGCTGGTAAGTTAACCCAGGTGAGTGGAGGACTCACAAAGCAGTATTCAGGTGTCTATGCTTTGCTGGGGGCAGACATTAAGCGCGCGGTTGCTTGTGGGACATGCTAATGTTGAGACTGGAGTCGAGGCTCAGGCTGACGAATCGATTTTAGAGATCAGGAGCAGAAGATGAAGGCCGCCTAGTTCATTTTGGGGCTGTTGGTGACCCAGAGGCCCACCAGTCCTTGCCCTGCCCCCAGAGCTGGCTCTGCACCCCACCCGCTTCTGCCCTAGTTCTCCAGCCTCCAGGCCATCAAGCTGAGAGATTTAGAAAGTGGCTAGTGACAGAGTGCTACCCGACCCCACCGAAAGCCACACTCACATGCAAATAGGGCCTCCCCCACCCCATCCAGCATTACCAGCTTGAGGGGCCTCCCACACCCCGAGGGTCTGGGGTCTGGGGTGGGATGCGTGTTTGCAGGCCTCAGCTGCCAGCGTTGACAGCTGGTCCCCTGCCCCCTGGTGGCCCAGCGGCTCGGTTTCTGCCCAGCAGATCTCATGAACCCTGAACCCGGGAGGCAGTCTGGAATAGAGTGGAGAGCCTGGGCTTTGGAGCTAGAAAAGCGTAGAGCATTGCCTCCCCCAGGCCACCACCTTGTCTGTTGCACTTCACGAGGGCCTCTTAGAACACTTGCATCTTCTTCAAAGAGGTACACTTTAAGGTTTAGTTTATCAAGCTGAAAACAGACATATTTTGGAGTTTGTAGGACTCATTCATTCAACAGATGTTTGTTGAGTATATTTTATGAGCCCGTCCCTAGGGGTTGAGGATAAGGGGTGAGCGAGACCAAGTCTCAGAGACTTCTCCTTTCAGTGAAACAGACAGACAGTAGACTATTAATACATGAGCATTTTATTATAATTGTGAGAAGTGCTCTGGATGAGAAACGGTTTTGTGCTAAGGTGAACTGGGCAAACTTACCTGCTCTCAATTTGCAATGGGCAAAATTTCTCTCTTCAGGCTGGGAATAAGAGCCAACGGTCCATCTCATTTCAGAACATCCTAGCCTCACCGGGATAAAAGGGCTGCTCTCAGCCATAGATAGGTGTTGCGGGGTGAAGAAGAGGGTTTCCTAGGAAGTCTGCTCTGTGTATGAATCTAGGAGGCACTTAATAAATAATTGGTGAATTACTGACTGTCATTTCGAGAAGGGTTAAAAAGGCATCTGCAAAGGGTGTTATACAATGGATCGCTAGGAAAAGAGAAAATCTCAGTACTTTTATTCCAAGCTTTCTGAAGGGGAGGAATTTGGGGACTAGCGTAGGAAAATTAGGGGTGCTGGACTTCCATTAGACACTTTTAGAGTAGGTGCTGGCACTGTGCTACCGTGAAGATACATCAATGAATGAGAGAGACGGGGTCCTTGCCCTCCTAGGGCTCACTGTCTGGTGAGAGCATAAGCAACAATGAAATAATGTGATAAGCATTATGAGGGGCCAGCAAAGAGAAGCCATCTCGGATGACGCCAGGAGGATAAATAAGAGCTATTATATTATTCTATTCTAAATATGAGGAGGAGGACTGGCAGGAGAGAGTGCTCTGAGTGGAGAGAGCATAGGCCAAGGTCTGGAGGAGAGAAAGCAGGTTTATTCAAAGAACTCAAAATAGTTCGGCGTGTTCAGACTTTGAAGGAGACCTGTTGGGGAGACAAAGAATATTGGAGAGAAAAGCAGGGCTGTTGCACTCATCTCAGGCAGCCTTCCTCTTGGGGGGAAAACTAAATTTCTTCTTTTTTTGGCCTTGCCACGTGGCTTGTGGTATCTTAGTTCCTGGGACCAGGGATCGAACCTGTGACCCCTGCAGTGGAAGGGCAGAGTCCTAACCACTGGAACGCCAGGGAATTCCTGAAAACTAAATTTCTTTCTTTTATTTTAAAAATTAATTAATTAATTAAATTTTGGCTGTGTTGGGTCTCCGTTGCTGCGCGTGGGCTTTCTCTGTTTGCGGCGAGCGGGGGCTACTCTTCGTTGCGGTGCGCACGCAGGCTTCTCACTGCGGTGGCTTCTCTTGTTGCAGAGCCCGGGCTCTAGGCACGCGGGCTTCAGTAGTTGTGGCACACGGGCTTAGTTGCTCCACGGCATGTGGGATCTTCCTGGACCAGGGCTTGAACTGTGTCCCCTGCATTGGCAGGTGGATTCTTAACCATTGCACCACCGGGGAAGTCCACTCTTTCTTTTTTAAAAAATATTTATTATTTATTTATTTGGCTGCGCCAGGTCTTAGTTGTGGCAGGTGGAATCTTAGTTCCCTGACCAGGGATCAAACCCGTGCCTCCTGCGTAGGCAGTGCGGAGTCTTAACTATTGGACCACCAGGGAAGTCCTGAAAACCAAATTTTGATTCCCCAACTAGTTAGGGTTACGAAGTCCAGG